TGTTATAAAAAGGAAAACGGGCAATTCCCTTTTTTTTTTTTTTTTTAAAGTTATCCTAGCCTTCAGTACAACATGCACTAAAAATAAAAATGAGATTTTGAAGATCTGATTTGCTATTGCAAATTCCCCATTCTCTTCCCACTGACGTTCCCTTTTACTGGGAAAATACTTAAGCCAGATACTACTGATAGTAGTTGTAGTGTTGTGTCCACTGCCTTACAGTTTCATTCAATACCTATCAAGTAAATCAGGGTCCTGCTGGCTTTTGTTCAGATCCCCACTGTCACAGGGTGGAGTCAGGGGATTCTGTCTAAGCTTCCACCATCTTTTCACTCAAGCTAACATTCAATACACTCACATTAATCTCAATCCAATACAGTTGTCCTCTCTTCCCCACAGTAGAATTGTCAAAGATATTTAATAGCAGAAGAAAACTTGGGAAGCATTATTACTTCAAGAAACCTAAGAATGGGTCTCTTTTATTATTAATTTCTTTTCCTTGCGCATCCAATACCTCCCAGCTCTGAGAGGGAGAGAACTTTTTGAGAATTGTATTTGTTTTGCATCTCATCAGAACAGATGATTAATAAAAGCAGCCTGACTTTCTCAGCAGTACTGGCCTGCTACCTCAATCATTGGACTACGTTGCTGTCCATTCTTAAGAAAGTTTTTGATCTTCCTGTGAAAGTTCTTGTCCAAACTAACTGGAATAAATGTTGAGTGAATGAATTCATGTAGTGGTGCAAGAAATGCTTTCCTGAAGTCCAAATAGGCATCTGAATGACCTTCATCTTGCATTTTGTAATTAAGTCCCAAAATAGTGACGTTTAGAAAAAGGATTTTTTTCTCTATATATGTTTTTTGCAGTTAGGAACTGTGAGAAATGAGTGGAAAGCACAGAGCGAATTATAGACTTGACTTAATCTTTTATCTCTTGGGAAGAATTAATAATTTAGCAGTGGATACTGAAATAGTTGATAGGAAATGTCTACAAACCCACTAGATATGAAAAGATTTGGACCATTAAAGGAACTGAGCTAAGGGGTGACTTTTGATATTGTGAAACATAAATAATCATGGACTGTGAATCAAAGCAGATAAATTCTGCCTTTGTTTATATAATATTGTATCTTTTAGATAAATAAAAATAAGCAAGGCTAAGTGAGGGCAGTATTTGAATATGCATTTTAAATTTGCCATCCAACATTTGTTTTAGCTTGAGGATTTTTGAAACTATTATAGAGAAAATTATTTTGAACTCTTGTGTGCATATATAGAAAAACATACACTAAATTATGGTTGCTATGTTCTACTTGATTGGTCTCTTTGCTTGTCCTGTGCACATTATTTATGGGTTTTAATCCTGCGCAGATGTGCTTTGGCATACTTTGGACAGAGAAGATTACTCAATTACTTTACAACCAAGTAGTTAACTCCGATTTCCTTAGAAGGCCAGTGTTTTTTTTTCCCCTTCCTAGGTAAACAGACACAACTATAAATGAATGAAACTTGTAATAGGTTTGAATTAACCTCCCTTGCCCCCAATTATCATGCAGTATTGAAATCATATTGCCTCTTTGCTAATTTAGATATCTCCATTTGTATTTGGGTTTCAGTCAATCTTTAGTCACTACACATAGATATTTTGATTTTTCTTTAGTTAACAGATAGTGGTTTTTACAATTATCTATTCACTGTAGTTCTCATCACACATGGATTTTCCAGAGAAGTATTAGCTCAAACCGAGAATATATTTCATGTATGCTAATTGGTCTTCCTGTTAGTGCTTTAAGAGCCTTCAGAACAGCATATTTGAATTTCAGTGTCTCGCTGAATTACCTGTGCAATTTCCAGCAATCAGTGTTAGAGGATTGCATGCCAGTGGTAAAAATAGAGGGAAGATAACTGATAGAGTTTTAGTCTGGGTTAAACAGACACAACAGTAACTGATTTTACAACACATTTCTTGTAGTTGCATCAAGCTGTACAATAAACAGCAGTGATCTCATATGTTGTAGTCAGTATATCCTACAAAATGCTGTTTATTGTATTATAGTTGTGTTAAGAGGACCCAGTCTTGGTGTAAAAGCAGAAAAGAAGTAGATATAGAATGCTTGCTTTTTGTGACTACGACAGGTTTGGTTTGGGTTTGTTTTTTTTTTAAAGGATGGGCTTTTTGTAAAATTACCTCTGCCAGCCCATGTACTGTCAGTTGTTTGTCATCCACCAGTCTCTCGTAGGACGTGCCTGCTGGATAAGAAAAACTTCCAAAGACAAGAGCAAGTGTGATCCAAGGGAGAATGTGGCTTGGGTTAGGAGGCAGGTTTGCATGTAGGTACTCGGCTCCCCACAGCCCTCTTGATTCGGTAGCAGTGGGATCTTTGAGCTAGGTATATGAGGACCTTTGGGGTACATGAGTTTTATATGTTAAGTAGCAGCATTTGTATTTGTATTATTTGTAGTGAATTAATCTGTACAAGGGAGCTAAACTCACTTAGATGTAGTCCCCTTTATATTGGCTGATAATAGCTTTGTTAATGCTAGTACAGTGAGATACTTAGATTTTGAAAGGTGGTTTAGTTGTAATAACTTAATCTAAATGTGGAGAGGTCTTTTGTACCGTGCAAGCAGAAGAGAAGCTCTTATCTCAATCCCAGGCTCAGCTTTGTGTTCTTCTGAGGATACTTCAGGGCACTGAAATATTGCATGAGAAATCTCTTACATGTTACCCTTCCTTTTGAGGGAGTTGTTACAGCAGGGTTATGCTTAATAGATGGTCTAGGTGCTTAATAAATAACTTTGTATATTTTATGTTTTAGGTGCATTTTACATTTCAAGAATCAATTCCAAGAACAGCCTGCACTCTAAGATGATTATAGCTGTTTTGGGTAGTTCTGTTTTCTTCAAACTACAGATAGAGTAACTAGTTTACAGCTACTGCAGATAAAAAAGCTAGTTTACATCTACTGCAGGTAAAAAAGCTAGTTTACAGCTACTGCAGATACAGAAACTATTTTACAGGTCACAATTAATCCTTGCATTGCCATTGTCATCCTCGCAAAGTTGTAACTTCAAGATAAAGTGGCTACTTACTAGATCAGTTCTTCCAGAAATGGCAAAATCAAAAATCAGCTGGTTTGAAGAGAACAGGAAATAATTGTGTGCGTGTGTGTTTGTGAAAGTCTAAGTCTACTTTAGAGGAAACTGAACTGCAGTTTGCTATGGTTGCCTGAAGGCAGAGATGTCGAGGAGTCAACTCGTATCTCAGGGCTAATTGCTTGCTACATAGCTGTTAGAGTTGATACCAGCTACCTGACTGAGACAAACCCTCTGGAGAATTGGTGTTAGTTGAGGCAATGGAGGCAGCAGTGCAGGAAAAACCCTGCTGCTGGAATTCACTGCGGATGAATTGAGTGCATTTTTTTTACATCATATTGTACATCTCCATGTATATCACATGGCGTCACTATGTGTGAATAAAAATTGAGAGGACCTCCACTGATTTGTTTTAATTCAGAAAGAACATATGAAGTCTTTTATCAGTTTTGGCTTTCATAAATTACTAAATTTCTTCCTACTTTTTTTCCATTGCAGTTTGAGTTCATTCAACTACAATATAAAATTCACTGCACCGGATATAAAAATGACAAAAAACTGGATCACATTTTTGCTGTTCTTATCAGTGACTATGGTGAGTCTTATGAATTTTTTTAAATCACTTCCAGTTTTAACAAATGTGTACAGAATACCATAGAAATTATTAATAAGGAAATGCAGAAACAACTAATCTTGCGTTCAAATGTAGTTTCTGCACAGCAGGATCTTTATCTACCTTCTGTTCTCCTTTTAATTCCTGTGGTAAAGGAACAGAAATAGTATTTACTTCTGCTGAACGCAGCATATCCTTTGCTGGCAGAGAACTTCACAGTAACAGTTGACAAGTGACATATAAGCAGTACTATGCAGACCCCAGGAAGAGTGGAGGAGACATCTAACTCAGATTCAGAGGACATCTTTGGAACTTTTAATTTCACCCCTTATATGATAGTGGTACAGTATTTCAATCTGCAGCTTTGTTTTTCCGTGAAGTTTAGTAGCTTCCTATAAAATATTTAACTCCTTTTAAAAATGCACTTAAAAGGTTCAGGTTTTGATCAAATTCCACTTTCTAAAATTTTTTTTTTTATTCTTTTCAATAACTATAAAAGTGGATGTCATGTCTTTTGAATACCTTTCTGTATTCTGAGGGTTGACTTTGTGGTTCACAAGATTATAGAGAAACCAAATAGCTCTAAACAAGCCAAAAGCTTCAGTGCGTAGAGTATATGGAAAGTCTCTTTTCATAAAGGATCATTTTGGGTGTGATTCAAATGCCTTTTAGACTAATGTAACTTCGATATATTTTACTGGATTTTGCAAAAGCTGTTTATATGCTTCTGACTGTCTCAGTGCTTACTATGCATTTTTCCATTATTATTTACAAACCTTGCAGATTGCTACTCCCCCATGCTCATTCAGGAGATATTTGTCAAGATTCAGTAGTAAGAAGAATTGCTATATTAACCAGAAAAACACAAAAACATATTGTCACTAATAAGATTTAAAGATCATTTTCCTTCAGTAAAATAATATTTAAAATATAATATTTAAAAAGATTGAAGTTTAAGAAGTTTATATTGGAGTTTGTACATGACTTGCTAAAAAAAAAGTCTTTTTCCTCTTAGTTTTTTGCCACTGCTATACCGTCTGAAGGGCATCAGAATATGACGGAGGACTTCACTCAACTGAGTGTTACACGGAATAAAATTATGACAGCACAGTATGAATGCTACCAGAAAATTATGCAAGATCCTATTCATAGGAAAGAAGGTAGAGATTCTTTTCTTATAAGGTTTTACAAAGGCAAATGGTCAACAGATATAATTACAGTAGTTCAGGATTCTTTAGTTATACTCATTTCTTGTCTTGGTAGCAATTGTTTTTCAGGCTGTAACTGTATTTGTACAATTTTTTAGAAATGTCACTTTGGGATTCATGAAGATAAAGTAATATGTTATATTACCTGTCCATAGCACCACTTCTTATATAACACAAAGCTTTTATTTCTGATGAGATAAGAAAATGTTAATTTAAATAGATATCCAGATTAAAAAATGGTGACTGATTAATCTTACCACTTTATTTCATTTCATGCTCTTACAATACCTCTTTCTCCTGGTCACATCTGCCTTTAAAAATTGAAAGTATCTTGATACACATAATTTTCCTGCTCTGAGGGTTGTGTTAGTGTCATTAATGCTTTTTCTGGTAACTCATTCAGAGATAACCTCAGTAACTCTACCTGTCACTGTATTCACTGTTTCTGACTTTATAACTTCTGGAAACATTGAATGGCTTTTGAGGCAAGAAGATGTAGTTGCATTCTTTTACAATGAGGTTTTTTTCTCTTCTGAAATGATTCTTTGGAGGAACTGAATGTCTGGAGGTCAGAAATGGATATGAGTATGACAGTGTAAGCTTATGTCCAGCCTGCGGCATCACAGCTTCAGAAGGATCTGGACAAATTGGAAAATCTTCTGATGAGACGAGGAGGAATTACATGATGTTTGAAAAATGCAGCCTTTGAGATGGGGGGCTTTATAACTTCTGGAAACATTGAATGGCTTTTGAGGCAAGAAGATGTAGTTGCATTCTTTTACAATGAGGTTTTTTTCTCTTCTGAAATGATTCTTTGGAGGAACTGAATGTCTGGAGGTCAGAAATGGATATGAGTATGACAGTGTAAGCTTATGTCCAGCCTGCGCATCACAGCTTTTCAGAAGGATGGACAAATTGGAAAATCTTCTGATGAGACGAGGAGGAATTACATGATGTTTGAAAAATGCAGCCTTTGAGATGGGGGGCGTTATTAAGTCTTAAAAAGAAAACTGAAGGAAGATGCTAAAAACATCTTCAAATTTGTAGAGAGGGTCAGTCATTCTGCGTGCCTTTTTGGAAAGGATTTGTTCATAAAACCCCAGCTCATTCTCAAGGGAGATTTATTTTAGATGTTAAAATTTGTGTGAGCGCAATGAGGCATTGAAACAGGCTCTTGAGGGACACTGTGGATTCCCTGACCCTGGAGCACTTAGAGAAGTGTCTGTCCACAATGACCGCTGCAGTCCCAGCTCTGCCTGAGGCAGAGGAGCTGTGGCTGCCTCCCAGCCAGGCTTTCTGATGGCTTCTAGGATACCACGGTGTTTTCAATTAACTAGTAAACACATGTATAGGCTTGTTATACATCCAAAATGTAAATAAATTCAGTAAAATGGTCTTTGCAAGCTTAAGGCTCTTTGCTAATGTGCATTATTTGGTCTGAATTGATTTAGGTTTTTTTGCCTACCGTGCTCTAGATCTGAGGTTTGTAAATTGTAGATGTAGACCGTTTCAAGGTGAGTGATGATGGATTTTAAAATGCGTTTGAAGAAACGTACATATAAGGAACTATTTTTATTAAGTGGAGTTTTAACTAACTACTGCTAAATCTTACGTTTCTGTTTTCTTTTTTTCTCATTGCTGTGAGAAACTTACCTTATGCAGTCTTACATCTTACTTTTGAAAGACTATTATGAAAGAAGGGTTGTTATTTTATTACCAGGTCTCTACTTGTTTGCAGGTCCTTACTGTAACAGGACATGGGATGGCTGGTTGTGCTGGAGTGATGTTGCTGCCGGAACTGTGTCAGTACAGCGTTGCCCTGACTACTTTCAGGATTTCAACCCATCAGGTAAGTGTGCATGGGCTTCTACATCAACATATTTCATAATAAAATGAGGTTTTGGGTGCTTGATGCCTCCTGTATCCCCACTCAAGTCACTAATGCTCCAGAATTTCAGTAACTCCAAACCCATTATTTGCATTTTACCTTTATCACATAGAAAACTGACAAGTTACTTATTTTCTTTTCTGAAATATGTCCTTGAGGGATTCTGTAGATTAGGAAATAGAAATTGAAGTTAGATCACAGTTTTTTCCTCTTAGAGATGAGCTTTTCTCTCTGACAGACAAGCAGAAATATGACTTACTCTTTTACCTCAATTTAGCAGCTGAAGTCGACAAGAGTTTCTCCCAGAAGTGAATCTTTTCCTGTTTCTGTAGGCTAAACTTCGCATCTGTGAGCATGTGGAAAATGTCATAGACTTCCACTCTTGTCTCTTTCTGCTGCGTTTGGTATTTCCCAGGGTCCTTTCATGCCTCTTTTTCTATTTGACAATAGAAATCATTATGCAGTCCCAGAAATTTTCCAGTTTGGTTCTTGAGCAGTTTCTCTATTGATGTTTTCCTGCGTGTCCAATCCTAATTTACAGTGGTAGGATGTCAGACTTCAGTTTAGATCTTGGATGTTAAACAAGCCATTTAAATATTCTTGTCACTTCATCTGGTAGTTCTCTAACAGTTAGTTTGATATATTTTGATACTTACTGGATTGGAGGAGGCAAATCTATTTGTTTTCTTAAGTAAAACACATCATCAGTTGCCCTTGCCAAACAAAAGCAATGGCCTCTAGTTTCTCATAATTCATAGTAACAAGCAATGTCTCTCTAGTCATATTAATAAAGCTGTCATTTGTTTGCCAATCTTTCTTCATTAAATACTAGGCATCAGGAAGTAGAACTTCAGTGCTGACTGTTGTGTTTTTCTTTTGTTTTTCTTTTTTGGTTTTCTTTCCATCTACTTTGACTGTAGAAAAAGTTACGAAGATCTGTGATCCAAGTGGGAATTGGTTTAGACACCCAGAAAGCAACAGGACGTGGACAAACTATACCCAGTGTAATATCTATACGCATGAAAAAGTGAAGGTAGGAAAAGAATGGATGCATGTTACCAGTGTCAAGAAACTGATCTGAAAAATTTCACAAGTTTCAAAACTCGAATGGCAGCAGAGTTGATGCAACATCAAAATGCAAAAAGAAGAAAGCACGACAAATAAAAAGGATGAATTCTGCATAACAGACTCAAAAAACCCCAATCCACCTGCTTTGGCTTTTACAGCTGATTTCAACTGCTTGAATAATATGATCATTTTTTTTTTTTTAATGGGTATTTTAAATGTGTAGGTACTAGTACTTGTTTAGGTCATCCACAGTCATCTAGTGGAAAGCAAAGTGTATGCCGTATAAGAGCAGACCTTTACATTTTGCTCTGTAATTTTGAAGTTCAGCAGAACTGCAGGAGGTTTGCACATCTCTGGAAGGCGTGCTGAGTGCATGGGTTTATCCAATTAACTCATAGTGACAGATTCTCAGCAAGTGCACAACCAGAGTTTTACTTGGGATTAATACATCTTCAGGGCAGCTTTAAGTAGAGTTCTGATGGTTTGATTTTTTCTCCCCAGTGTGAAAAGCAGAGCTAATCTTTTTTACAAAAGTGTAGGCAAGCTGTAGTTGAGTAGGTTCACCACAGGATCTTTGGAGGCCAAAGGGAAGTAAATGATGAGAAGTGTTAAATATAGGGTTTGGTTTTCCTTGTGATCTTTTTCCTGTGTACGTCTTGTGTCCTGACTCACAAGTGCCATTTTTTCAGTTTCTGAGATATTGAGCTGCTCACATGAATGAAAAACCTATACTTCAAGTTTATTTAAGTGAAATTTTGGAAGCATCCAAAATTATCTCAGGCCAGGCAGCAAAATGAGTTGAGAGTGTTGTTTTCTATATATCAAAGGTAGACTCTATGTACACACATACCCATGTGGGTATATGTATAGATAGTATTTTTAGAGACTTCAGTTTATCTTGAAGATGCCCATCCATTGACAGATTTAGGGGGAAAAAAAAAATCTGGTAAACCTCCAAATGCCCTCTTTCTGAGATACTCTGTAATATGTGAGGATATAATGGGCAAAATTTCATATTTTGCCCTCCCCCCCCCATGTCCACTAATATTCTTTATGTTTATGAAACATTCAGTCATGGGAAGCAGCAGTAAATTGAAACTGTAAATGCCCAAGAACTAGGAATATAAAATGCGGGTCAGGATAGACTGTAAATTAATTTGGACCTCATGGAAAAGAGCTCATAGTAGCAGATTGTGTCAAGAATACTGACATCTAGCAGAGATCCTAACTGCCTGCATCATTGCTGTCAAGAGTGCTCTAGGGTATTCACCTAGAAACCATATTGAGAAAAGGTGGTAATAGATGATAATAAGGCATTTTTGTATTGCTTTTTCTCAAATCATGAGACATTGAACACGCTAATGGCAGTTTAATTCTACTAGCAGAGATGCTATAATTCATTGATTCTTGCTAATATTTGGCTGGAAACTGAGAGAATATTATTCAGACAGGAGCAGATCCATGCAGGTCCTTCTTTATGAATAATGAGCTAGTTTTCCTCAGGCTGTTTTGCCAGCATATTTCAACTCTGTCATGCATCAGAAGCTATTGTTTAAATGGAATAATAGCTTCGAAGAAAGCCTTACTGCTTGCTACAGTTCTGTGTGTTGTTATATTAAACAACATTATCTTTTCACTTTGCTCGGAAGGCGGGTTAGATAATGCACAATAAATGTGACTTGTCCATTGTTCAGTTCTTATTGTTATTGCCCTCATCAGCAGTCCCTGCTGTACCGCTGTTCCGTGCCAGTTCTAAATTGTGTGGAAATCTTCTAAATCCTTAACATGCACCTTTGCCTAAATTGGTCACTGAGAGAGGTCGTGATATGGGATATGGACCTGTCATAGAAAGGCTGTCATTATGTATATGTAGCCCAGCTTTAGCATTTCGGGGGTAATCCTTTTTTTTTTCTCACTTCCAAATTTTTATGAAAGTTTCACTTAAACCTATTGCATTGCTTTTGGTTTTTGTTTTTTTTTTTTTAGTTATCTCATTGTTAAGCATAATGATAATTTGAAAAATTCTAGCATGAACAAAGAGGTACCCTTGTCTCATCTTACCACCTTCTTAAAGCTTTACCTGGAATCTTTTTATATTATTTCAAAAGTCAATATATGTAGCAAGCTGCAGTTAGTCTATCTTAAATTGGAATAATAAGTTCAGAGTATACATACAGTTTGGAGTAGATGAGCATTTGTATGTATGCTCTAATTCTTCCTGTAGAATCCAGATAGTTATGCTTTATTGTGATAGTATAAGGTTCAACCTGAAAATCTTCATTTCCTTATGTACAAAATGATGATCTTGCATTTAATCAGACAAGAGAAATTTTGTGAGGCAGATTCCATGACTGAAAGCAGGGGTTTGTTACTAGTGGAATTTAATATATTTATTAATTCAAAGAATTAATTATAACATGTTATATATATTCCAAATATTAATTTACTAGTTCCTCTTTTTACCTTTTGTATCTACCCAGCTTTTAATAATGCTATAATTTAGCTGTAGGCTTATTTAATAAGACTGTTTAGTCTTCACTATTTTTGAGTCATTGTTAATTTTTTTTCATGCCCTTCCTTAAATGCCGAATGAAAACTAAATTTCCAATATCATAATCACAGCTTCCTTTGAAGGAAGTATCTTTAAATGATAAGAAAAAACCTTCTATGAGGAAAAATATACATAAATTCATATAGGAAGCACATGTTTTACTTAAGAGTTGTGTTAATAGATGAATCAAGCTTCAGACAGGAATGCACTCAGTGCAGTAGCATAAACAGCCAGATTTATGTAAATACTCAGAAAACACATAGCAGTATATATTAGAAACCTAATGTTTTAACTGATAAAAAGTAAGTTATAGTGATGATTTCAATGAATCTGTTGTCTGTCCTACAGAAAGAGATTTTGGTAAGGTGTTGATTTGGATTGTTGATCAAGGATTCTAGACTTGACTCATCATTTTCTGTAATGTTTTTATTTTCTTAATCCTATTATAGTCATTTTGTATGCAGAAGAGATGTATAAGTATGTGCTTTATCAACAATAGTTCTGTATGCATCACAGGTGCTTGGTTTTGTTCTTGTATTGCAGACTGCTCTCAATTTGTATTACTTGGCCATCATTGGACATGGTCTTTCAATTGCATCACTTCTGATTTCTCTTGGCATATTCTTTTATTTTAAGTAAGTATATTTAAAATCCTTTACCAAATATCAGTGGTTGCAACAATCCTAATTTCGATACTTTGAAACACCAGCCATCCCAATGAAATTAGATGGAGCAAGAAGGTGAAGAAAGTCAGTATATTCATTTGGCATTGAACATTATATTGTGATAAAATTTTAGGTTTCTCAGAAACCTAAAATCCCAAATCTGCAAACCAAAAACTGTAGAATGTATTGAAAATAGAAAATGGGAACATTTTTGTTTGTTTGTTTTGCATTTGGGGTGTGTGTGTGTGTTTTTTAATAATAAGTTACAGTGTGGATATGCCAAGCATCAACCAAACTAAAGAGCAAATGGAAACCAAAATACTGACGACAGATGATAGGTACAGTAACATTCCAAAGTAGGTAGCCACAAAATACGATAAACTGTAAAGAAAGTAAGGCTAAGAGCTACAGTAGGAATGGGAATAATAAAAATAATCCTCGTTTTTTATTCACCATATTATGTCTGTGACAGTTATATCATATCCACTGACTAATAGTTATTATGTTACCTTCTCAAAAGAAAGTTTGAGCGGTGTATCACCTCTGTCACAACAACTTGTGATATAATGCACAGGTCTTTTAAAATTAGTCTTCTTATTACTTCACATTTTGTGAACTTACTTTTCTTTCCCCTGAAAGACTCTTTAAGAAGTTGATGAGGCTTAGTAGAAAGGTGAAACCAGGAGTGTTACCACATGAGCAGAGCTGAGAGAGACGAGTTGTTATCTCTGCCAAATACTGCACTGCACAGTGTAGGCTTTCTTTGTTAAACTGGCACTAGTTTAATCATGCCTGCATCGTTTTTCATTGGATAATATAGATCTGCTCTACGGTCTTACCTGTTTCTTACCGTTATATCCTACTGTCTCACTCCACCTTTTATTTTTTCCTAACATTTAGATATGAATAGCACATACACCAGCAACTCTAGGGCTAGCTCAGGTTTTGCTCTGGACTTTGATTAGGTAGGGGTAGCAGATATCCGATAAAAAATTATCCTGTTTAGTCACATCTGGCTGAATGTAGTGTTTCTAATTTAGATACGCATTATTTCCCCAGGTTCTGGGACAACATTTCCACAAATCCCCAACAAACCAGAGTGTTTCAACTTTGTAGCCTCTCTTTATGAAATCCAATATTCAAGATGACTTTTCAGCTCTTTCTGACTTCCTTTCATGAGGACAAACCAAAACATTTGTGTTTTTTAATCAATTTATTTGCATATGACCTGTAAAAACAATGCTTACCATTTCCAAATTCACTTTCCCTCCACAAAATCAACATGTGAAGTGGCTCTGAGCCCTTATAAGAAGCTTGATTTTGCATAAAAAAGGGCTATACTGTTGCTATAAATGTCACAAAAAGCGTAACACACTAAATACCTAATGTAACAGGAAAAATGCTGACATAGACTTCTCAGGAGCAAGCAAAAAGATTTGGAATGCAATATGATTTTAAATGTTCAGAGACAGTAAAGCATGATTTTTCCGTACTATATTATGAAAACCAAGCCAATTTCATCTTGGTTTGTGGCACTTAATGCAAAAGCAGGTGATCTGCTTTGCTACCATAATAACTATGTCATGTTTGTCTAACCTTCCAGGGATTTCTTTCTCCTTCTGGTAGAAGGATCATCTCTCCTCAGAGAACCACATGAAATTAATCCAGACCCACAAACCACGTTTTCTAGACTGTGGTTATGTTGGGATATAAAAGGGAATTAAAAAATTTAAAGGAAGCTAAAGAAAGTCCTCTACAAGTTGTTCTCTTGGGATGTACAGTTCCTCTAAAATATTTTTAGTACCAGAAGGGTATTTAAGGATCTAGATTAATACCAGGTTGTATTATGTATCGGCTGAAGCTTGTATAATTATTCATAGCTTTAACAGGTGGACTTTTTTTTTTTTTTTGCTATTGTGTGGGGGTGCCTTTGAATTTGTCATGTTTCCAAAACATTTATTCTGTTAGTCGATTGGTAGTTTCCAGATGACATTTGCTGGATTGCTGACCATTAGAATATCTTTAGGTTTGACTAGAAAGGTGGTACTTTTCTCCATAGGAAAAATGACAGTTTTTTTTCAAATATCTTCAGCTTTTCAAATATCGACCATTTGGGTTTTGAATTAAATTTTTTTTAAGATTAAAATGTTTTTGTGCATTTTATTTTTTCATTTGAAATTCTGTTTTTTCTTCAGGAAAATTGTCTCACTGGAAATACTTGTCCAGTTTGTGACTTGTGTTCCCCAGTGGATTGGAGTTCTTGGTTGAATAGCATAAAATGGGCTATAAACTTGGAACTCCAATCTTCCTCTCTGAAAATTCATCTATGACACATAAAAGTAACTTCATGCAGTGGCTCTGCTTTCTCGTTCTGTTACGTACTCTAGATCATACATGTGTTTATTATAAATCTTCTGTTATAGTAGTTGTATGGTTTTCATAAAGAAAGAAAAACAAGGCAAGAAAAAGCTTGAAAAAAACAGTGAATTCAGAGGAAGGGGAGCTATAATTTGAAAGATGCTTCTCCAACCCAAACAAAACCCAAAACAAACAAACAAAAAAACCCCCACCTGAAATAAAGGAGTTATTGTTGATCAAGCATCATGTCAAATCACATGACAGCACTCACAGAGGATAGCAACACTATGCTTAAAGAGTGGGCAAACAGCTGAATGATAGATTGATAGAGAGATAGGAGGTTCCTAAGTCACTTTAAGTTAATTTCAGCTGAATGGATAATTTCCCTTAGGTGCATATGTGGCTCTCACTGGTTGAATTTTGCAGTATTTGAATACCTTAAAAAATTAGATCTCAAACACGTCTGGGGGCTTTTGAAAACGTTACCTTTTTTCTTTTGGAGAAGTATTGGAGAAGTGAATTTTTCCCTAATGCCCAAGACATACAGGAGTCAAAATAGGAAGGAAAAAAGGTAATTTAGCAGAAGGTCTGTTTTCATTTTACTGCACGTGGTTTAATCCAGGGGTAGGTCATTCAAATGTTCTTAGATCATAATTATGAGAATTAAGTGATTAAAGGATATTATGTCATTAAGAAAAACAGTCAGAAAAAGGAATATAGGAAGGGTAACAGAAGAGGGAGGGTGGGGAGGCTTAGGAAAAAATCCTTTTATTACCAAAAGCAGTCTTCGTTTTTAAATGTCATCAGTCTTGCTTTCTTGTTTCTTGTCTGGTGATCCTTTCAATCCTTTTATGCATGGGTGGAGGTGGGTGTGGATGGGTGTGTTTGAATATTCAACAGGAACAGCTGCTGGATGACCCTGAGAGATGGCCCCATTAGCTGTACGTGCTTTTCCTTGCCTGTGCATTGAATCTTAACAATAAGCAGACAGAATTCCAGAGTTCTTCAGGACTTGTTTACACAAAGCCCTTGGCTGGAATCTAGCATTGCCTCTCTTTTCATATATAAACCATATAGGGGGGGGGAAGCATATAAAAATACAAAGAACATAAAAAACTGCATATTATAATAATCAAAACTTTATGCGTTTTGGGCATTAAAACGGAAGACAAAATTTAAGAAAGCCTAATGGAATATACTTTATCACTTAATTCATATCCAAACCTGTGTTCTGTATTTTGGATACTTTTTCTTTTCTGTTTTCTTCAGGCAAATAACACTTGGCAACCAGAGGTTCACGTAGGGTAGTTCCTTGTGCTGCATGGCAGCACTGGTTTCTAGAGTGGTTTCCTTCCCCCATCTTTAGTGACACGAGCCTTAGAATGCCTCAGGGCTCCCAGGCTTGACTTGCAGAAACTCTGCCTGATTCATGGTATTGCACTGTGCACATCTGAACCTGTTAGCTTACTCCATGTATCTGTGGGGTGCTTCATACGCTCTTCTTGTGATAGTTGCAAAGAATGCAACCAAGAAGTGCAGTCTCCTCTATAGCCAGTCTTTTTTGACTGTCTCTTTTGTTCAGTGGGGTCATTTTGTTTCTTGTTTCATCTGTCAGATTCTCAACAGTTTTCAACATACTCCTCCAGCTTTTGTGACTATTCCATATGTGCATTTCTCTGTTAAAATATAGTTCTTCTCCCTCCTGCCCACACAAATTAAAAATGAATCACCAATGTCCGTACTTCATCTTTTCTTCCAGGCATGCTATTTGAAAAGGTAGAAAACTTGATTTTTTTTTTTTCCCCCGGGTGATAGTTTAGACTTGTTCCCTGCTGACCTTGTCAATGTATTTCTGATTTCTTTAACAGTGAAGAGCAGTTGCATGTGTACGTGATAGATTTTGCTCCTCCAGTTAGTAATTTCATTCTGTCAATCAACTGCACTCCATATTGCTGGCTATAAAATGGAGGTAGGTAGGTGCGGTTATAAAGCACAGACTCTTTACAGCACAGGCTTCAGTAGATGCTTTCTCCGAAGTAACCAGAGAGTGTTTCCTGAGAGTGACTACAGCACCACGGGCTTCATCACTTCTCTTTGCGTGTGGGAGATGTTTCTCTGAGCAATGCTTACCCTGCAAAACCGGGCTCTGTTCCTGACTGCCAGCACTGACGTGCTGTATGACTCTGATCGAGTCAGTTTGCTCATATGTGCTGCGCACCCCCTAACTTAAATCTAAAAGAATCATTTTTACCCAACTTTGTAAATGGATCATCTGCTTTCATAACAAAATGGATGTTACTTGCTTTTTCAGGAATTTGGAGCAATAAGCTTTAATATCCCAGTGATCTGAATCGTTTATATATCCATATAGGCTTTCTATGTTCTTTTGTGTTTGTCTGTAAAGCTGAATTTCTTTGGAAAAACTTGAATGAGAAGCACTCCTGCCTCTTGGAATGGCGCTAAGTTAGACCTGCTTTCTCTAGAATGGCAGATAAACAGAAATGTGCTGTGACTATGTTCATCTTCTACTATTATTTAATATTATTGCACCTCTGTTTAAAAAAAGAAAGCCCTTCCAAAGATATTTTTCTCTTTAATTTTATTGCAAGATTAAAAGCAAACCTTGAAAATTAACACAATTAAATGCAGTTATATATTCCTTTTTGCAATTATATTCTATATACAGTTTATAACTTAGTTATATACAAAAGTCAAGATAAGATTTGAGTTATTTTACTTATTTGGGTATTTCTTTAGCTATAGTATTAAGGAAGAAAAATGGCAAGAATGTAAGTAAAAGAGAATTATCCTCAAAAAATCTTAACAGGTTTGGGTAAATGGAAACGTAGGGTAAGACAGCTTCTTCAAGCTCAGGTATGATAGTTAATTGGGAAATTCTTAAGGTACTAACAAAAAAAAAGGTGTAAGTCTTCTGAAACATGTTATATTATCACTCTTCAAATCTTTTTTAGATAGCCACTACAGAGCAGGTCCTTCACTGGAAACATACTGGAACTGAATGTACTTGCTTTGCCTCCTGTTGGCGTTTAAGGGAAGGTGTTACCTTTCACATCATTCTATTAAATTTGGACTGGAGCTGAAGAAAGGGTTGATGTAAGACTTGTTAATAAAATAAAGAGCTCTAGTATTTCAAAATTTGACGTCTCTCCCCAAGTACACACAGTTGTCCCCCTGTGTATTCATTTGTTCTTGTTTCTCTTTTCTAGGAGCTTGAGTTGCCAAAGGATTACCCTGCATAAAAATCTATTTTTCTCTTTTGTTTGCAACTCTGTTGTAACAATAATTTCACTGACTGCAGTTGCCAACAATCAGGAGTTAGTTGCAACTAATCCAGTAAGTGAAAGTATATTTGGCAGCCCTGTTGATTTGTATGTGAAAAACTTCAGCAACGCAGAAGAGTTGAGACATGAATACTTGATGAAATGTTGTATATAGCGAGGTTAAAATGTTCAGGAACGATGTATCCATGTTATGTATTACAACAGATGTCTAACAATGATATGGGCATTTCACATTTGAGGTTTCAAAATATTAAAAACACTCTAAGAGACAGAGCACGCTGAACTGCTTCTGAATTTGTACAAATCACTTTTGCACTGAAACAACTGCAAGAAAGTAGCCTATTCTAGATGATGTCAGTGAGGTTATGACAGTTGAATTCACCAAGGAAGGGCAGTAAAAACAGCTTTGGGGTGCATTTTGGATGTCAGCTACTTTCCTATGGCTTTAACTTTGTCATCTTCAGTTGAAATAAGAGAATTATTTTTTTTTGTGAAGGGAGATAAAGCTGACCCTTTTATTCCAAAAGTAAAAAGCAAAATAAAAAAGCCGGTGATTCGGGGCTGATTTTTCTCTCTCTCATTTCCTGATAATACTGGGGTAAGTGTGAATCAGTAGCCTCTCCCAAAAGGCTAGGAGTTATAGCAACAGAAAAGCCTGAAAATGAAATACATAAACAAACAAATCCCTAACTGTGGCTTTATTTTTATTTAGACCTGGAAGATAAATTTAAATTCTGTGAAAGTTAGGGCAAAACTCCAGAAGCTGAATCAAGTAAAAAGATAAATTCTCTTTCTCCTGTAAAAGCTCATCAAAGTGCTGGAAAATAGGCTTGAGATAGCTGGTAATAATCATCATCAAGTGAGTTAGGTAGCAAAATATGGTAAAACAACACTGATTTTTGGTTTGTTTTAAGCTAAGTGCCAGAAATAGATCAATCAAACATACAGCAATTTCAGAAGGAGAAAAAAAAAGGATCTGCTATGTCCAAATCTGGAAGTTACCTATTGCTCCTTTTTCACAACCTCACATTTTAGTCTGCACAGTAAGTTATATCATAACATTTCAATTGAAGAATATCTTTTGAATGAAGCTAAATACAAATATATGCCAACAAGAGAGCTTCCTTCCAGAACCTACTGTGCAAGTTCTCAACTGGCCCTGAGTGCAGCTATGACTAGGTTAAAATTGGAAGTATCGTAAGCATTTTAAAAACATAAATCGTTCTCTGGAGTAGTTATATGTTGTGATTGGTAAAACCAAGAGGGGATTACCCTCGCTAAAGTACATTTCCTTGTGCAGTTACCATCAGATAATTTAAGGATTCCCTATTGATTGGAATGGTCAAATGTGGCAATGTTTGCAATAAGGGAAAATATCATTAGAGCCTTCTGCCATCATGCTTGAGGATCTCGAGGTTCTCATGTTTGAATAATAAAGATATAGACTCAGTTACCAACTTTTTTGTCACCATGAAGTATGGAATTGTAATTCCTGAAAATTCTATTAAAAAAAGAAAATATGTAATTGTAGTGAAAACCAGAATAAACATTAACGTTTGACTCAATCAGTATTTTTTTCCATTTTGCAAATGAAGCTCTGAGATTTTTGCAACTTAAAAATTTATATTGTACTCGCTTTTTTCTACAGGTTAGTTGCAAAGTATCACAGTTCATCTACCTGTACCTAATGGGTTGCAACTACTTTTGGATGCTGTGTGAAGGCATTTACCTGCATACTCTCATTGTGGTGGCTGTTTTTGCTGAGAAACAACACTTGATGTGGTATTACCTTCTTGGCTGGGGTATGCAATTTCACGTTCTGTATTTTCAGGCTATTGCAATCTCTTACTCCTTTTCATGAGAATTTGAACATCTGTCCCTTTGCTTCTCTGAGCGGGTAGCTTTGAACAACGATGACACACCCCTCTTCTTTGTCTGTAGTGTTTTAACAGGCTTAGAAATGTTAACATAGGAAGTTGTATGTACCTCTATCTTTGCTGAAAGAGAGATTATGCATTTCTGGAGCCAGGAAGTGACTCCTCCTTTGTATAGAGAAAATAGTCTCCTATTATAAAAAAGACATTAAGAAGTAATTATTCATTGTTCCTCATCTTGAAGATGTTTATTCAGGAATGAATGTTTGTTTTCAGAGAAGTCTCGCCATGTCTAGGGTGGAGGGTCAGCACGGAGTTAGAGATGGCCAAGGATTTATTTTTCCAGCAGTTCCATTTGACCTGTATTGTTCACTAAGCAAATACAGAATAGCCGTAGCTGAAGGCCTCAAGTGATATCAGTATCAAAACTAACGAGCCCAACCTGGTCATTTCAGATAATGCACAAGAGCATGTTCACAAAGTGCAAGTGAGGACTTTCTCCTCAGCTTCAGTGTATTGGCCCATTCAGCTATAACATGACTTGGTACCTGGGTCGCTAGCTGTCCCACTACAGACACAACTGAGATGTGGTTAAAAGATCATAGGTGCTCGGTAGTTTCTGAAAATTAGGTACCACCAGGGTGTCAAGGACCCCAGATAACTATTTGTTTGTTTGTTTTTAAATTTTGAATTCAGCCTGATTTCCGGAGTCTGTTTTCAAATGGTTTTTTTGCAAGTGACCTTGTTTTCTGAATACCCAGCAAGTATCAGTGAGGACATAATCAACATTGATAATCATACTGTTAAAGCTATGATCGTATTATACAATTACCTTTCTAATGTTACTTACCTATTTAGCTTTATTGCAGATTGCAGTCTGAAAAACATCTGTGTTAATGAAAATTGATTGTTACATTCTAAAAAGTTATAACTTGATTTGCCTTTTCTTTCTGTGTGTTAGTATGGATTTCCTGGTAAAACAATGGCAATAAGGTTTCATACGCGCCTCTGAAAGAAATCTGACAAAATAGAAACGGAATTGGTCCCTGTTTCTTTATTCGCTCTGCAATTGTATAGTTTGGAAGAGGTGAAAATAGAGAAGATTGCTGCAAAAGATGCAGGTTTACTTAGTTATTAGCCAGGTTTATATATGAAGAAAACATTGTTTTTTTCTTCACAGGTTTTCCACTGATCCCTGCCTGCATACATGCCGTTGCTAGAAGTTTGTATTATAACGACAAGTAAGTAGCATCTCAACTTGCTGTGCAAAACTGTTATATTTTCTTTAAGGAAAAAAAAAAGAATACAACAGATAATAAAATGCCAATTTTTTTTTCTTTCCCTGTTTGTTTTCTCTAGTTGTTGGATCAGCTCTGATACTCATCTGCTGTACATCATCCATGGCCCTATTTGTGCCGCTCTGTTGGTAGGCATTTTTCAGATGATAATTGCTTTTCTTGTTTGTTTTCTGGCTGTTCTTCATGGGCTTATAAAGTTGGTAAGAGCCTAAAGCCAACATTTAGAGGTCACTGTCATTCGCAGGACTCTCACTTAACCCAGTAGGTGCCTTAGACATACCAGATACACAAGTCGGCCTTATTAAGGAGCTGTACCCCTGGTCCTTTGAGAAACTCAGGTTTTGCAATGTTGATTATCATTCCACTTAAATGCTAGTGACAAGGAAGGACTAAATATTACCTGGAGTAATGGAGGGCCATGTTCAAATCCTTCCTTTAGCTGAGAATGCTTTCTCACTGCCCAGGCCATTTGGCAGGTTGACCCTATACGAGCATCATTGTGTCACTGTGCTAATGTGGCCAAACAGCTACCAGACTGGACCTCACTGAGGCTCAGAAAGAGGACTCTTGAGTGTCAGGACTGACTGTGGGTGGGAATACGGGATGGAGAGAAACTAGAGCAGGCCCTTGGGAAAGAACCAGTGAAAATAGTTCTGCAAGAATCTGTGACTGCCCCTGTTCTGATACTAATCTAGCAATGTGTGCTTTGGCCACCGGGGTATTGCAACTCCTCTGCTTCATTAGTCCTCATGAACTCTTAGAGCGCAGTGTTCTGTCTTACACTCCAAGTTAATGCCAGCTCTATTACATGCATGTTTGCTACTGAAGACATTAAACTCTAGGTAAGTAACTGAAGACTCCCCTGTATAAAAATCAGTGTTGTACTTCAATTTTTCTAGGACTGAATTTAACCTATGAAATTTAGTCAATAGGTTATTGATAAATAGAAAGAGGTGGATAATAAAAGAAAATACTAATATGTACCTACTTATACAACTGTCTACATAATTTATATCCATGAATGCATAACGCAGAGAATGCTGCGGTGTAGAGGCATTCTATATGTGACCAGAATTAGCTGCTGACTATTACAGTCATCTCTCTTATTGTAACAGAAACTTCAAACTGATCTGGCAAAGGTATTGTATACATGTCTACTGACTTTTCTTATGGCTTTTCAGTTCATGCAAGGAAATTCATTAAGAATGAAAACATTAAGTAACTTTTTGGAAATAATTTCAGTTTCTGATCTACGTGAATTTCTTCTTCTGTTAAACTGTTTGCAGAGGGCATTCTGTGTGTAGAGAATTCTCTCTGAAGACTGTTGTATAAATCCTGTGGTTCTTGTGACTCCCATTTTCATCCACAGTGAAATTAGCTGGTGAACTTCTATTTTGAAGATTGTGTTGATACCATGACACACCTGAGGTCCTCTGCATGGGAAGCCAGAGGCAGTCCCCATGAAATTACTGAGATCCGTGGCCCTTGGGGTGTGAATTATTACTGATAATCCCTTGTTCTGTTAGTCAGGTCTGCAATGTATGTTCATGTTAAGACACTTCTACTAGTGCTCTAATCTGTAAACTTAAAACGAATTCTAAATCCTTTCAACTTTTCTTCTCTTTAATTTACGCAGAAGGTGGAATCCTGTTTTCACAGAAAGGGATAGGGGTTTTTTGCTCACTTCAGTGGTGCTGTACTTCACCCAGAAAATGTATGCTATTCTGCATTGCCTTGTTGGCTCTTACTTCCTTTCCCCAGGTGTCTCTTCACAGATATATCACTTAAGTAAAGCTCTTTAAAGCTGAAATATAATTCGTATTAGTCAGAGCTTGCTTAAATAACAACAGAAAAATTTGTTTAAAAGTTATGAGACTATACCATCTTCCATGAAATGACCTCATTTTAGGATGAAGGATCATTTTCTCCTTCCCAGCAGTGGCCTCCACAAAGTCACGCTGAAAACAGTGGTCAGACTCCTACTGGTCTCAAATGTACTGGATCAGTCCCAAACTGTCAAGTCTTCTTTCCATTGAAGGCAACGCTAAGAATGTCCTTTGATTTTACTGGAGGCATAATAATCGCTTCTGTGGGGTTGGTTTGGGCAGAATCTTTGTCCATTCTCTTTGTAATTTACAAATACGTATACTTTTGATATTCCTATATTTTTCACCAAGTTTAAACACAACTACACATCTTGCCTGTGATGTGAAAGTACCTTAAAGGAGTTGCTTTCCTTTCTGGTAACAAAAAAATGCAATATGTCAATTCAGAAAAGACAAGCCAGGGATAAAGACATTAGATGAAATACATGTGTTTAGGCTTTGTGAACAGAACCCTCATTTGCCTAAGCAGCTTGCTTGCCAAATACAACTTTCACACTTTACTAAGCATGACCTGCTTTAGTAGACATTTAAGCAACAATATTAAGCTGCAAATTAGATAACAAGGGAGAAGACACTGTTTCTACTTGCAGGAGCAAGATCTCAAAGAACATGAAGAGAACTGTCAAGTGGGTGCCAGGGAGAATTGGCAGAAGCCAATGGGCATTTAACTCATGTACATCACTGCAAATCCTACAGTTACATAAAGTTAACAATAACGCTGCTTTTACGGTCCCTGTTTTACATAACTGTGGTCAGATCCCTGCCAAAGAAACTGGAAATGGGAGAAGACATAGGTTGCATTTTGATTGGAATTGTCTTCAGTTGACCATTTAATTACAACTGTTTGCCTAAGCAACCACAATTAAAGAAATAGTGTGGGAATGAAACAGTAGAGGGTGATGTTAGTTTTTACACTAGACAAATATTGATCAAAATGGAGGGGGGGGTGAAAAAGCAATGGATTTGAACTTTAGTGAAAGCAGTATTGATTTCAGTGTAGATTTCAGATGTGCTAGTGCACTAGTGATGTAGTTTGCATTGGTGCCACTGAAAGAGTAGATTTTGATTTAGTTATGCCATTATTTATATAAATAATACTACAGGGATGTTTATTTTGCCATATAATAATGTTATGTATTGGTGTCTTAGACTGACAGCCTTTTATAGATGCAAATTCTTTTAGCAGAAGAAGTAAGCGTGCTCAGTGAACATGTACTAGAAGGAAGTTCAGGAGCTCCTAGCTTTGTCACTGACCCATTTAATGCCTTTAAGCTGGACTCAGTACAAGACTTAGGAGTTTAGGAGTTGAATGCTTAGCATTCATATACCCAGCCTTGGAAATGTCCACAGGCCAGGTATAAAACTTGTCTTCATGAGCACATACAGGTGTTCTGCCCAAGCAAGCTAGGCTCAAGCAGGCTAAGATCTGAAGCTGCATAACTGTATTAAAAGCCAAGCAATGGCTACCAGCTAGTATCTAAGAATATCTGAGCTTCTTGAGCTGAGAATGGTCTGTTTATATCATCCTAAGGAGGAATTTAAACAGAATTTAAACCTACATGCTAATAAAGATTACCATGCTGCTTAGCACAAACTCAACATGGAGAGAAGTAGAAATAGCAGGGACCTGAGGAAAGTTTAATTCAAGAACTGCAGCACCTATTGACTTATAAGCTCAGCTAAGTTCACAGCCACTCTTAAGGCAGAACCTAAATTCTACTAAGTTCCCATTATAGGCACAAACATTTCTTTTTATCTAGGATTGCCTTCTCTGCCTTTGTTTCCATTTTTGTTCGTTTGCCCGGTTCAATTTTCAGGTCACTGTGGAGCTGCTGGTATTTTACTATGTGTTCATACTGCAGCTAGCACAACAGGACTCCTTTGGTGTTTTCCAAACCATCACAGTCAATTTGATGATAATATATATGCGAGTAGTTCCACTGGCCTCCTTTTGCTTAAATGTAAAAATCTACTCACTACCTTGCTAAAATAAAGACCTGTTTTCATCACTTTAATTAAGAATTCAGTTCATCCTGATCTCACTGTTTTGTGACAGAAGAGATATTCATCAAAAATTAGTGCTGCATATTTTACTGACACTCATACTGTTCTCAATTCTGTCCTCTGCTTTGCCTCGTTCATCTTTTCTGTTTGCCCTAGTATCTATTTGCAAACTCTTTGCATGCTTATTTTTGTGCTTTTTGCTTTTGGTGGGTAAGGGGAACAATTAGAAAAATTCTGTGCATCTCACTGTGTTGTAAACAAAATAGTTTGCTGGGTGGTATTTTACTCCTGGCTGTTGCAACTTTCATCTTCAGTTAGCATTCAAGGATAGTATTATAGGAATTGGCCGTGCTACCAAAACACGAGAGAGCTGAAAACTCTGTGTTTGAGACACATTTAGAAATGGAGGAAGGTCTTATTGTCTATGTGTACTATAGGAAGTTGGATGAGGATCGTGGGCTGCATAAAATCTAAATAAATCCCTTGAGAAAGAATCAGACCTTGGTTGCTTGAACAAAGCTTAAAGATAGCTGGAGACTTCCAAGAGAAATTCATGCAGTAGTTTCCGATGTAAAACAATTTCCTGTTAAAATTATTTAAATAGCATGTAAGTAGAATATAAATAACATCACATCTCTGTCAAGGGCCATGTTGCCATAACAATACACAGCTGTTTATTGTGAAAACCTTAACTGACGTGAAAGAATTCTGCCGGGGTTGTGGGGGACATGGTGACACACATGGTCTGAAATGGATTCCATGTTTGCACTTGTCCTACAGCAAGACAGAGGCCTCCTCCTAGACCAGGAATTCCTAGTCTTTTTAGAAGGGAGTTGTCTGTCTGCTGGCTTCTTCCCCCGCCCCGCCCTTTTGTCTCTAGATTGTCTGTCCTTGCCAACAACTATTATCTGGAAGAAGAGATAGGACCAGACTCTAGGTCTCTCCCTTCCATAGTGGGTCCCCTAAGCAGCATTGTCTTGCCTCGGTGCCCTTGGGCAAGGCGATGGGACTGGCTGAGCTCTCAAGGTCTCTTCCAGCTGTAGTTTCTATAAGGGGCTGCCGTTATTGCACGATAGATGAAAATATGGTGTAATCATCCCTAACGTTGCTGTTGTGCTGGTTACTAACATCCTTAGGCTGGTGTGTGTGTGTATACACATACACATACGTGTGTGTGTATTAGTTTTGTAGTTGCTTACGAGTGCTCACATGTTGAAAGACGTAGTCTGCATAGTTGTGATTTCAGTTTGGGATTTTTTTTGTCAAACTGAATGAACAGATATACACCACTGTTAACGAGAAAAGCCTTAATAGCTATAGAAATAATCAAGTTCAGTAGTGCATGAGAATGATGTAGAGCATCATCTCAGTGCTTGCCCCATTTGCAGTTCTGCTGAATGATTCAAAAATCCAACCATTAGCCACTGTGAGAATGTTAAATCTGCTGTTTGTCTACAGGAGTATACAGTTCCTCGTAGCAGCATTTTGCCTGCAATTTTATTTCATTTTATTTCTTTTTTTTTAAAAAATCTGACTTTTTCTTCTCTATAAATTTGTCAAATTCATATTTGAAAAATAAAGTAGCAGCTTTTTGAAGAACCGTATTTAAATACAAAGAGGGAGAGTGTGTCATCCTCTTTCTTGACCAACCTAAAAAGACATAATCATTTTAAAAAACCTAATCATTCACCTGTGTGCTGTTATTGTGATAGCAGAGAGAAAGGTGCATGGATTGTTAGCACTGGAAGACTGACGGTTATCTGGGTGGATACTTGCTTAAAAAGTTAGAGGAATGGATGTGGATATTAGATGTTACAGCCACATCTTAGTTACTTGAAGGTGTTTTCAAAGAGTTTTAACTCATGTTTATTGTACAATCACAACACTATCCATGTAGTATGAGTTTTCTTGAGTTTCTGGTTTTTAGTATCACAAAACAGCATGTGGGATTCTTTTTCAGACTATCTTCAGTGTCATTTTCTTTTCTGACAGGTGAATCTTTTCTTCCTGCTAAATATCGTTCGTGTTCTCATAACCAAGCTGAAAGACACCCACAAGGCAGAATCCAACCTGTACATGAAAGCAGTGAGAGCTACCCTGATTCTTGTTCCGCTACTTGGCATTGAATTTGTGCTGTTTCCATGGCGACCAGAAGGCCGGATTGCTGAGGAAGTGTATGACTATGTGATGCACATCCTTATGCACTACCAGGTAGGAAGCATTACACAGTTTTTGCTCACTTGAGCTAGACAGCAGTTGGCATGTGAAGCAAATAAAAGATAAGTGATCGTGTTATTTCATTTTTAAAGACCTTCATGCAATATTCTTATAAATTACTTTAACTTTCTCATTATGCTGAATTTTCATTTCTTAAAGGAAAGAAACATCATGGTAAATAGCTGGCCCGATACTTCTTAGTAATGTACTTTTAGAAATAATTCACCAAGTTTAGATTTGTACTACATTTTGTTTGCTATCTATATCTGAATTTTATCAGGAACTTCTAATTATCTCAAACCTGGAAAAATCCATATGCATGTGAAATAAAGCAGAATCTTTTTATTTGTATTTTACAGGGTCTACTGGTGGCTACAATTTTCTGCTTCTTTAATGGAGAGGTAGAGTAACAGTTTTTAATATATTTATAATACTTTTCCTATTTTATATATTTTTGTTTTGTTTCAGCAACTAAAGAGATGGTAATTTTAAAATAATTTTTAAAAAATTTCTAAATCTAAATTTGTGAGGTAAAAACTAATTAAAAAAAATAATAATCTGGCTGCCAAGAGCAGAGCTTGGGAAAGACTATGCCATCATTTGTGGTATCATTAAGTTCTTTAGGACCGACCCTTTTGTGCTGAGCAATATACATGTCCCTTGATTATATACGGAATTGAAGACACTTGTCGCTTTGATATAAATTCTCAATAAATATCATATAGAAGTAAAATGTAATTCAATATCCCGAAGATATATTTGTCTATGTTAGAAGCTGTATAGCATCTGTTATCCTGGAGAATCACTGTATTTGGTCTCTCTGCAGCAGGACTAGAGCATATTGCATACATGTTGCTGTGCTGGGGTACTGTTGTGTTATGACAGCTTTTGGGATAAATTTAGGCTGAAGTTTGGAAAACTCTTTTTTAGCACAGCTGAAAAATATCATTCCAGAAATCAGAACTTAATAGTGTATTGTGCTTGGGTCAGAAATTTGTGCTGAATAAGAAGTGCACGTTTAAGAAACCATCATCAATCAATTCCAAGAACAAACTTCTTTATTCTTAAGTTAGAAGATTTCAGGATTTCAGTAATATGTAGTACTTATTCCGTTGAAGCTAACAAGCTTTGCTGTTACCTTGAATAGATCAAGGTCCAGTAAGTCTGGAGCGCACACAGTGACTTTCATCTAGAAACTCTGGCCCCCAAGCTGTACTTGAGAGTACACTTACAGGGCCTTACAGTGTCCGAGATCAAAGGGGTAGAAAGGCTAAAAAATATATATGCAAAATTGTTAATATGGCTCTTGCTTGCAAACACCTCCCCCCGCCCCCCCAGAAAACACCAACAAATGAACAAAAACACCCCACCAAAAAACTAACTGGTACTTTTCCAACACTTTGGCAGAGGAACAATTACAATCCTACACATCTGTTTGTTCTACATTTAGTGCAGTTGCAGTATATGGCTGTAAGCAGATGTGTGGGAGTAACCAGATGTTTTCATGTGACTGAACCCTTAGTTTCTTTTATCAGATGTTATAAAATTGTATCAGTGTGCTTATATAATATTATTGGACAGTAATACATACTTACCAGTAAATATTTGGCTAATACTAGAATTGATTCATGCAGATCGCCTTTCCTTCTCTTTCCAAGTCCGAAGCTGACTGAATTGCAATGAAACTTCCATGGGGTTTCAACGTTTATTTTTATTCCCCCCAGAAATGTATGTGTCTCAATGATTGGTTTTTTTTTTCCTGCCAAGGAGGTAGAAAAGATGAAGAGAGGCTTTCTCACAGTTTAGTGGGCATGGGGCAGTGGTTTTGATCTGGTTTTAAGATAAAGTAGATCCAGTTTCAAGTCCCTGCTTATATATTTGATTCAAAGCAGAACACATCATTAAGCGTCCTGGATCTGATCTGATCACTTGCCCACACTCAGTATTGATTATTTCACACACTCTTTCCCTTCTAAATTTTATAGTTCAGAATGCCTTCTAAAAACAGGTATTTGGAAAAAATCAAACAGAGAGTTTGTCCTGCTCCAGTGCAAAATGGTGTTGGGGGGACACCTTGAAATCTCTGCAGTTTCTATGAAACAACATTGTCCGTTGCTCAGTTCTGCCTTTTAATCCTTGTGGATCTTCTGAGGCTACTTGATTACTTAAACAAGTCAAAACTCTAATTTTAAAATATGATATAATCAGTAAGAATTGTATCTGTTAATATTCCATTGTTACAAACTCATATTTTTGCACGCTCCCTTTTGCTGTGTAAGAAAAGCAAACCCGAGTCATCCCACTAATTCAGTATCCTGAATTCACCATGGGCTGATCAGTGGTAAAAGATGAGCTCTTCCACAACTCCTACAAATGGTAACAGATTAATCACTTCTTGAACACCTGCCGGTGGGATAATGTTAAAAGGGTGATTTAGCCATTTTAACATTAATTAATTTAGGCATTTAATTTTTAGACCGTGCGCCTTGACTTTGTCAGTTAAATGTACGTGTCTGTATTTGCTGTCTGTAGAGTGGAGATTTATGCTTTTTAAACCAGTTTTGGCTTCAGTGCTTCAATGACCACTATTCACTTTTTTTTTTTTAATTGCAACTTGTTCAAGGGATTTGTGGCTTTTAAACAACTGTATCAGTAAGGAAATCCATGGGGAAGAATGACAGTGTAGTTAGGAAAAAATGTCTGCACAGAAAAAAAAAAGTGTTTCCTTTGTCTACTAAAAGATTCTGCTCCAGGCATGCGAGCCTGCAGGCACACGTGTGTTTTGTTGCCATTATAGTCTGTTGCTGTCATAACAACGCCTGAACAAAGCCTGCAACTGCGGCTTACCTGTTGTGTACGAGATGCTTCTTTATCATCACCTGTCACAGCAACACCTCATTAGAGACTGTACAAAAGGATGGGCATCAGAGAGTGGTGTTAATGCTTGTCTGCAGCAAGTCTGTGGTTTAAAGGTGAATACTGGTATTAGAATCGACACTGAAAATGGGGCAAAGCTTTTCCAGTGGGATATTAGCAATTAAAAATGCTAAAAGCACTACTTTCTTTCTGTCTAATCTTAGCATTTCCCAACTGCTACTGTACCGTTTAATGTTTTCTATACCAAATATCAGGAACCAAACAGGAGTTGTTCAAGTGTTGGTTTGCAGGCCACCTCTGGTGAAAAAGGGAATGAAAGTCGTCTGCTAGTGGAGAGCTCTAGTGTAAGAAACATAAGAAAAATAGCTGGTATGTCCTGCTGACTGTAGCCAAGGAACATCTCCAAACTTCTTGAGCAGCGCAGCCAGGGATGATCTGTCAAATCCAGTTCTAACATGCACTGCAGCTGTTTGTCCTAAACCTCCTACAGACAAGGGCGTCCGTGCAAACCCTTCATCTTTATCTTTTGTGGCAGGGCTACCCTAAGGACACTCGCATTCTGCTTATGTCCCAGCATCCCACAGACTGAGATGCTTCTCGACTACCTCATCACGTTTTCCAGTTTGAGTTGGACTAGAGCGGCCTTTGGGGTGACACAGGCTGCAGTCAGAGGAGAAGCTTGTCCCAGATCTCTGATAAATCAGCAGAAAGATTCCTATTGAGCTATTAATAACAGGTGATAATAAATGACCTACATTATCCATGTAAGGTTTGTGGGGCTTGTTTTTTTTTCTTTCCTTCCACTGGTCTATAGAAATGTTGCAGTAAAGCTTATGGTCTCAGGTCTGCAGGATTATACAATCCCTTGATCAATAGGCGAGGTTGCGTTGTAGGTTTTTTTCTCCTTGTTGGCTACTGAGCTGTTTAATTTGTGCTATACTGAACATCAAGCTACTAGTATTTTAAGGAGCTGATTGGAAGGAGCCCTACATGAAAACTCATCAAAAGAGCCGTTACTAACTAATAAGGTGAGAAAGCAAGAATCTGCCAGCTGGAACTGGCATCTCTATTAATGACGGAGAAACACAATTGTATTTATTACATTACTTTCTTTCATTAAATGCATTGCTTAATATCCTTTCTTGTAACAAAGTAACAAAGTGCTACCCCTCCGAAGCTGACTGCAACTGCTCAAAGCTGAGGAAAGAGTGATAAAAGTTCTGTTTTCAGTTCATGGGTAGACACGTATATTGTTAAACAGAGTATAATTACTGGTGAAAATTAGTTGTCTCGTTGATTTTTCCCATCTTCTTCTGTAAATGATTGATTGGACGGTTTAGAGAAGACTGCAAGACAGTAATAATAAAAGAAAGGATGTAACACCCTACAAGAATAGACACGTAGTAGGACAGAGGTGAAATACTGATTCAGCAGTAACCGAGAGGCTTTGGGAAGAATGCCAGAAATACGTGGCTTAGTTAGAAGTGCACCGAGAGCAGGATGGGCACTGGGGCGGGCATAGAGGAAACGGTGTTTGCCCATACAGGAAACGCTATTTATAGCAACCTGTCACTGGCCAGAGAGCAAGCTTGATGGGCTGTCTTCTCCCTAGAAGTAGCCCGAAGGCCCTTGTCTTGCAGGGATACTGATGGCTCTCTTGAGCTATGTGGACTTGATATCCTTTAGGACTGGTTTACAAATATTATTAACAACTGAAAATAAGACGAACAAATAAGTGTTACTGAAGCAACCAGGAGGAAGTGTGGGAGAGGACCTGAGTGTAAGGCTTTATTTCCCAGCTCTGCCAATAGACTTCTTTGAGCTTGGTTAAGCCATTTAGTTAGTTGCTGATGTTCTCCCATCTCAAGCCCGTCTTGTCTAAAGTGAAAATTGCTCAATATGTAATTTTTTTGTGTGTGCGTCTACAATAAAACACTAATCTTACTGAGGTAATTGACTGTGGAAAGGAGAACAAATGGAACATAGCTTAGTGATATGCACAGATTGATTGATATGATTTAAAAATAAATTCCAAGCTTCCTTCTTGGAAAAGATGGAATTTTGAATGTGCCTCTTCTCTTGGCTTTATGAGGGATTACAGGAAAGAGATTCAACCCGTGTGAAGATTTAAGGCTGTATATTGCTATGCAATGCAAATTAATTAGTCACAAACTTCCTGTGATGAAACAACAACTCGCCATTTAGACTCGGAAGAAATATAGAATTTTGATATGAAGAGTGATAAGATCAGATACTCAGAAGTATTAAGACACTTGATTTCTCTTCAGTGTTTGTAGATTCGTGTTTATATGTTTTGAGTGGATTGGAATGGTTTTATGAACAGTAAAAGAGCATCTCCTTTGCCCTAAAATAATAATTTCTTATGTTACTCAGTTGATACTTCTTCCCTTACCCTTTTACATTTTCTTTGTAAGGATTTTAAGAAATATGAAGTTCTCCTTTAAACAGAGGATTCTGATACCAGACTGCAGGAAAACTAAAAATTACATCCCTTTTCTTCTACTTATTTTTATTTTTCGTAATTAAAGCCAGAATAAAATTAGACAAAAGAAGGCATTGTGTTAGGGAAATGTAAAGCAAACACAAAAGAAACCCTGAAGACATATGGAAAATCCTAAAAATATTTACCCACAATATCAACATTTAACTGGGGGAATCGCTGTTCACTGTTTAGTTCTTTTGTATGTAACAAAGTGAAATGAAGGTCATGCTTGTGAATGAGGCCTGTGATTTGGGGTGCACTGCTGGATAAATGTGAGTGTCAGTGTCCCCCCCAGCATTTCTTGAAAGTCAGTGCCTTGCCAGTCAATGCAGGAATAATTTGTGTACAAAGTTTGGCTGAAGAGGAAGTTAAATATTCATGATCTGTGGGCAGTCTTTTTAACATTAAAAAAAATTCTCTTGAAAAAGCAACAACAATAGCTGTTACCATTCTTAGCATTCCTCACTTGGCATCTTCACTGTAAGACTAATTCTGTGTGAATTTCATGAATGTGATGCTTCATCAATCCAATATGCACAGGTGTTCAACCATATTGTAGGAGAGGAAGGCTATGATAAACATAACATCCTTTCAGTGGAGACATGTAAACCAGCTGGGGCCTACAGCTATTTCATCAGCTTTATTTTTAACCCTGGTAGAAATACAGAGTTTGGGAAATTGTCCTTCTATTCATTTGATTAAGGTATGGTCAGAAATTAAGAAAGGCTTTCTTGTGCCAGAAGGGCAACGAAGCTGGTGAAGGGTCTAGAGCACAAGTCTTATGAGGGGCGGCCGAGGGAACTGGGGTTGTTTAGCCTGGAGAACAGGAGGCTGAGGGGAGACCTCATTGCGCTCTACAACTACCTGAAAGGGGGTTGTAGCGAGGTGGGTGTCAGTCTCTCCTCCCAAGTAACAAGCGATAGGATGAGAGGAAATGGCCTCAAGTTGCACCAGGGGAGGTTTAGTTTGGATATTGGGAAAAATTTCTTCACCGAAAGGGTTGTCAAGCACTGGAACAGGCTGCCCAGGGAAGGGGTTGAGTCCCCATCCCTGGAGGTATTTAAAAGATGTGTAGGTATGGTGCTTAGGAACATGGTTTATTGGTGGACTTGGCAGTGCCAGGTTAACGGTTGGACTTGATGATCTTAAAGGCCTTTTCCAGCTATGGTTTTCTGAGGGTATAAGAATTTACAGCTGCTGAGGATGTGGCCCTTTGAATATAAGGGTGAATAGAAATGCCCTTTTTCACCTGTAAATCTGATCTGTCCACACTGGACTTCAGTCCACAGGGGAGAAAGCAGACAATTGTGTTGCTGCTGCTCCTCCTGTAATCTGTGCTTTTCCTGAGCAACTAGTACGCTACAATTATAAAAGGTAATTATTTCACACCAAATTTGCCAAAGAATAATGCCTACTTAAATTGTAAATCTTTCAGAACATCTCATGTGACAGATCACATGTTGGTACCCCCATTTTCCAGGATTACTGAGCCTTACTACCTAATTTGCTTAGACACATTTATTATGGCACTCATGCATCGAAGAATGAAGTCCAATGATATCTTTCCAAGTGTTTTATGTGCATTTCTTTTTGTTTTCTGGCATAGGTCCAAGCTGTTTTGAGAAGGCACTGGAATCAGTACAAAATCCAATTTGAGCACAGCTTCAGCCACTCGGATGCTATGCGCACTGCTTCCTACACCGTATCGTCAATCAGCGATGTTCAAGGCTACAGCTACAATCACGACTGCACCAGTGAACATTTAAATGGGAAGGGCTACCATGACACGGAGAGTGTCGTTTTAAAAACGGAAAAGCTGTATGGTTGACTGCTAAAGGCTTGGCATATGCCAAGCCCTCGTGAACTCCAAGTTTGATTTAATGACTTCACGGCCAGAAGTTTTTACCTAACTCGGGATATGTTATTCTCCTGAATGATGCAAACTAAACCAACACGTTTTTCATATGTATGTATATGTATGCATATATACATATGTTTGTGTTTCTGTGTATCTATATAGTATGGACATCTGTACATATATATCTATATATGTATGTGCATTTATATAAGGATACAAACTTTGCCTCTTCAGTTTCTACTGTGTAGACAAAGTTGGCAATTTTTTGTACAAAGGGAATCAATGAAGGATTTCTTATTTTCTTGGAAGTTTGTATAAGACTGTGTTGTGTTGAAGCCACTTCATTTGCCTATAGAATCTTAGAGTGTAAATACCATACTGTATTGTCTTAATTCAACCTAAAACAGAACAAAGGAAAATGGTTAAAGTAGGTGCAATAATAACAATAGATTGTCCAGGTTAATTTTGTGTCCAGCATTTGACTGTCAAAAAAGCCCAACAGGTAGTCTGAGATAACAGACTCGAAGATATTGATGGTTTAGTCTGGTCAAAGATATTGATCGTTTCGTTTGGTTTGGCCAGTTTGTTTTTTCCACTGTTTAAAATCAAGCATAGAGACACCAGTGCAAGTCTGAGACTCTACTTACTTCTGTACTGCAATGTAATATTTTACAGCAAGCTTTGAGCAATTTTATTTAAACTATTTTTTCATATACAGGGGTGTCTCCTTCTCTTCAAGTTTATGGAAGTTCTTTATTGGCTTTAACACAGACAAGATCAATGAGGCCTTACTGCCAGAAAGAAATGTAGTAACCTGAATAAATGTAAATCCTTCCAGACACTAATACATAATTGAAGCTGATGGAACTTCACTGTGTGATTAAGGAATTTACTCAACTGGGAAAAGATCATGTACAGAATTTGTTGTAGCCATGTTGTTGTTTTGTTTGTTTTATTTTTAAGTATTTCCCTGGCCATATGCTTGATAATTTATTCCTTCATTCTTGGGGCAAAGTTTTGATTAATATTGTTTGTTTGGGGTTTTTTTGTCTGAGAAAAGCATGCAAGACTGAACGCAGTGCAAATGACATACTACCTTTAAAGCCAGTCTATGAGATTCAGACTAATCAAGCAAACTAACATTAGTAATTATCATTACTTGGAAAATCCAATACAAGGTTTGTGTTATAAAGGTTCAAGACATTATGGATTGAGAATTTTAATATTATTTTGGAGTGCTTGATTCTGAATCTCTATCTCAGTTACTTAGCTTAGAACAGTACTTTATAAGTTGTTTCTTTGGTTCTACTGGTGAATAAAGGTCTCATTGAAAATGAGGAAGTGGTCAGAAAGATCTTGAGAAAATGTGTCTTTATAGCAACATCTGTTTTTGTAAATCTTTATGCTTTAAAGAAATAGTAGTTTTCTTAAGTGAAATGACAAAAATGCTCAAGACTGAGGGCGTGGTATGAGGTGAGTTTAGAAAAGTCTTATTAAAAATCACAAAAGTAGAAAAAGGTTTCATTGGTTTATTTTGCAGATAAGCCTACTTCAAGTGGGGAAAAACCAAAACTAAGTAGAAGAAAAGTAGATGCTGGAGTTGGTAGACTATTATGCTAATTAATGTATATCTGGTGCATGCAAGCCAGTCAAAAAAGTGAAAGACAGTTCTTTCTGAGACCACTTCAGTTTTAAATACTTAATTTTGTATATGAACAACTTGATTTTAACATTTAAACATTTTTGTCAGTAGCCTTTCTGTAAGCTTCATTAGCACCTAGTTAATTTGCTGTCACAGTGTTTATTGGTTTGTGACTTCATCAGGCTTCAAATGCTTTGTATTTAGAAGGAAAACATAAGGAGGATGCGGTAAGTTCATGCCACTTGCACCTTTTTGTAGTTTTTTACAGTTCTTATGTCTGGAGTTTGAATTTAGAAAGTGTTTTCTTAATTATTTAGTTTCATAATATAGAATCTCAGCTAGGATGCACAAATCAAGATTTCTGTTCTTCTGCAAGGCTGTCTGGTTGATTGGTGGGAATGATTTGAAAATCAGTCAGATTCTGTACTTTAGAATAGTGTGGAATCTGGCAATCAGATGTCACAATCTCTTAAATTGTAAGAATACAGTAACGATATCTGCTACAACATGATTAGAGGTTGCTTACAACTCTGCTTGCTGATCTATATAGTGTTACTTAAAATCTGTGCAATGTTCTGAAAATATTAGCAGTGCAGAAAATCCCTGCTCTGGTATAGCAGCTTTACACTTGGGGAACCAGACCATCAACTGGTATAAATCTGTCTTGAGTTTCATTTTCAGAATCAGGGGGTACCAGCTGAGAATCAAAGCCCAGGCAGACATCTGTCCATTTAAAGTGCTTTGAAGTCCTTTATGGCATGTTATCAGACAATTATTTCAATGGTACCTGGAGGGTTGTTGTAATTAAAACGTGATAGTTTAGAGTGTGATGCAGTATTAGATTTTCAATTAAGCTTCTTTCTCAGCTAGGCAGTTCAAATTTAATAGCCTATAAATTTTTATCATTTAATACAAAGTACTAGTTGCTAATTGCTCTCTGTCCTCTGTTAGAGGAACTTGTAGTGCTAAGTTAGGAGGGAAAATTGTTTGTCCACAGAAATCATCCTATTTCTCGGTGGACAATCAGAGCATGCTTCTAGGCACACATCTGTCTTCACTTTGGAAAAGAAACACACATCCAGCTGGATGTGCAAGAAAATGTTTGTGGCTGTGGAGGGTTACATGGCATAGGAGAGCTACATTTCCCCCCTCCTCATGAGGTTAACTACCGTATTTCCTATTTTGCATTGGAAAACATAAATTCCGTATTTTGTCTTCCTACCTCACCTTTTTCAGTTCCTACACAACCAAAAGAAGGGTCTGCTTCTTAAAATGTTTTTCTGTCACAATAAATTAAAATCAAATCCTTATGTTGATTTCTCATGGCTTATTTTCTTCTTTACAGAATGTTGTAGTCCTTATCTGTATTCTCTGGGATGGAAGTAAACTCTGTTTTGGTGGGGCTGTGAGATTCCTTTGAACACGCAAACAGTTATCTGTTATTATTTGCTCTTTATTTCTTTGTTATTTAGTGAGGATTTATTGTATCAATCTACAGGGGCTACAGAAATACTTGTCTTATATTTGGTATCTGTAATATCAGCATGTTAGTATTCTATGAGAGGGAATGTCTATTTTTAATGCTACTGTCTTCAATTAATAAAATGCTCCATTGCAGGGTCCCCTCAGTTGTTTGTTTGTTTGATGTTAGCGTTTATGCTATGTATTTTTTCATTGTGATGATCTACTAGAGTATTTGGCTGTAGAAATGCTGCAACATGTACTCCTTTTCATGTCATGAAACATTTGGGCTGGAAACCAGGCAACATTCAAGTATAGTACTATGTAAATAAGATTAATAGAAGCTATAGCATTGTATTTATTGCTTACACTAAGAATGAAATGGAAAAAATGTGAAGTTATTTTTTGGTTGTTCTTTGTTTTCACTTTGTCCATATGAATCATCATGCATTTTAATTGCTGAAAGAAGTATTATGTTTGTGATCAATAAAATATTACTACATTTATTCAGATCTCATGCTGTAATACGGAAATAACAAAGCTGATCTAAACTAGGCTTTCACAGATGTCTTAACTGTGTTTTAATTAAATATTAATCCAGGGAGAAGGTCATTACATAGAGTTACTAACAATTATTCAGTTTTTAAGTGTTTGTTTATTTAATACTTACATTTTTAATGCATAGTAGAGTGTTGCCTTTCTGGAGGAAGCTTGCATAGATGACTTAATGTAAGATGGCTGCACTTAAAATTATTTACTCAAAAGCTTCATATTCCTATTTCTTGTCTCCTGAATCTGCCTTTTAATAACAATCTGTTAATACTTACTTATGTTAAGAAGCCAAATTTTCTGTTCCATCATGAGCTGGCAGCAGAGTAGAGACTAAATATCTATCTTCTTCATTCCATCAGTCTAGGTGGAGTTCCTCTCAACATGGTGTTCAACCAAATCTCAGCCAAAGAGATTTATTTGTGCAGAAGCTGTTTTGTTCTGTAAGACCTACAAGAAGCAAAGCAGTAGAAAAAATAGGTGAGATTTCCGCCCCCCCCCCCCAATAGAATTGATGGTGTCTGCACAAAAGCTATGAATGACAGGTATGTTTTAAATCTGTAGAATTGAGTCCGTTCTTTGAATACTGAAGCCTATCTGCCTTTAGAGAGATGCCTACCAGCATGTAATTGCTAAACTTTTGAATGGTATCAGCTGATGATCAAACCACTCTAACAGAGATAGGGGAAATACCAAAGGGCGCTTAATCTACAGCTTAATTTATCACTCACCCAACTGGCACTAGCCACAGCAAGACATGGGTGTAGCAGCTCTAGTGGGGAAGCATTATAATTGTAGTTATATTGGGCCAACTTGGGTCTCCCTGCACTGTTGCAGGTCTAAGTTTCATAAGCTAACAGGGTTAAGTGTGCTTCCACCTACAATGATGACACATGAAATTCAGGCATCTGTTTTCAAGTGCAATCTGCAGGAATTCTGTTTAACTTGCTCAGTCATCCAAAACTGGGAAGGTATTCTTTTTGTATGCCTTTGAGCAAATCCCATTAAATTTAGAGCTGGACTGCTTACCTGCTTCCAGAGTGAAACACACTGCTTCAGGTTGGTTTTTTTTAGTAACTCATTTGAGTGAGTTTCTAATATAGCTACTAAAAAGATCCAGCAAAACAGCTTTAGAATAACCCATAACCTGTCTGCGTTTTTTTTCGTCTCAGACTGCTGCTCCTAGACTTTATGTCTGGGTGAACTGAAGGTATGGATCACAGCTCAAGAAGTACCAGCAAACTCCTCTCCTTCAGCAGACTTTTATTAAAAGGCACACAGGAAATCGCCATCTAGAATTGTTAAAAGTCTCAGGTCAACAAACAAACATGGTCCTTTGCTATTAGCTATCTTATAGCCATGAAAAGCAGTTCAATACTGGACTTAGCCTGAATTTCCTCATTTCAGAGATTTGGTTTACAAATGAGCACGTAAGATGATTCTGTTTACAGTTTCCTTGTGATACAAGATTAAAAGCTAAGATAGCACAAAAAAATTCAACTGAGGGCCAGAAAAAACCCCAAACTAACACTTGGTAATTTATTTTCTATTGCTATTTAAAGGCCTTGCTATAGTAAGAGTTGCCATGGCCCTACACCCTTAACCTATTTCCAAATAGAAGGTAATATAACCCAGAACAGACAGAAATACAGCTAGAAGTCTTACCTTAATTGATAATTAAATTTCAGTTCTGTTGAGCTGTGATACAATACTAACTGGAATAAGCTATGACTGACTAGTTCAATTATTTTTGTACACTTCTAAGGTGCATAAATCGCTTTAGTATATATTGTATACCAGAACAGCAGATAAGTGCTGGTAAGTACAGGGCATTTTTTATTCTTTTTTTGAAATCGAAAGCTCTTCAAATTCTGTACACATAGTAAGAATTCATACCTCATTATCCATGTGAAAAAGCTGAAAGATGGATTAAGTGGTTTAACCAGTGATAATGTTGGGACGGATCCTATGTCCAACTGATGGATTAAAGTTGTGCTTAGGGCATGGAATGATGGAAGCCATCAGCTATTTGGCAGCTCTGGGGAAAAAAAAAAAAAAGAAAGAAAAAAGCTACATTTTTCCTATATTTACTTTGTGGGGAAAATGCAAGTATGAGAGTGAATAAGTACTCAAACAGAAGAATAATGAAATGGGTTATTACCTTTTTAAAAAAAACAGTTAAAGACTACAGAGCTTAAGGGATTTATGGGGGTGGTGGTTTTAGGAGACAAAGAAAATAATAGAAAGAATATATTTTCATTGCACACAGAGCTGTAGCCACTCTAGAAGACAGCAGAGTGAGGGAAGGGAAGATAAGTACAAACCAGAGAATGGTGACTGACTTTAAAAAAATGCTCAAAATAAAGTGGAAACTGAATTAGGGAAGGTTGTTTCGGACTCAATTGTTTAGCCTAGCTCTGTTTATTTTTGGGCAAGCTAGGAAAAAGTATTTTTTAAAACCTTTAAAAAAAAAAAAAAAAAAAAGAATAAAACCTGTGCCTCTGTTTGCTTCAAGTGAGACAGTATCCTTTTGAGGTTGGATGTCAGGAGAAGATGTGTGGTAGTGGTTGAGGGTGGAGAAGGAAGATGAAGAAGTCATTGTCCTGGGGCTTTAAAACAACTTCACTCTGAAATCTCATATCAGCTAAGGTATATAAGCAATCCTGAGCTAAAGAAATGTACTCAAGAAAAAAAGAAAACAAGACTGCCTAATTAAGCCAAACAATATTGGAACACACAGGGATCTTAATACCGAGTCTTAATACTACTGTGTGTATGATACCCATATTAAAGTGTGCTAATGTCCAATCAACAAATGCACAGTCTCCCAACTCCCATTCCTGACTCTTGAGCAGGAGCCCGTAATTCCAGGTTATTTTGTCGATCTCTAGTTCCTAGGACCAAATGTCAGTTAGTGGAAATTGTTACAGCCTCTACTAATACTAATTTATGTCTATTACTCCAGCTAAGCGTGTATGGCTTACTGTTTTCTACCAATACCTACTAATACCACTTACTGCTGCTTGGTGATACAGATTGTCTCTATCTGCATATGCAGAGTTCAAACGCTTACATTTAACAATTATTTTATACTTTTATATAAGTAACTATAGAGAAAAAGAAGTAAAGCAAATCCCAAGTTACTGCCTACAACATTTTGTCCTTATACCCAGCAGTAGAAAAGTAATACAAATTATATCCACAGTAGCATTTGCAATTGGAGTATATGCGCCTAAAAGCACGTAAACACAGTATTTTTCTGCTGAAAGAAAAATAAAACATAGCCTCCTAACCTCCGTAGATAAGAGTAAACAGCGATTCTTACATTTTATACATAATTTTAAAAGAGGAAATGCTCTTACAGCACAAGTAGCCTTGTAATATTTAGACATGGCAGGAAATATGCTAGAAAATAAAACAGAAAAAAAAAAAACCCAACTAATTTCATATCACCTATTGCCACAGAATACCATTCCACTCTCTGCAAGATATGAAGATTACGTCCTTTGAAAGTATTCCAAGTGCTCTACTAGTATATCTTGCATGGTCTTGTCATGGCAGTAACCATCAAAGAAAAAGTTTTAATCCAAAGTTTTAGTTTTTTATAGTTATCTGATTCTAAAAAAAAAAAAATACGGTCAAAGAAAATACAAAACTCACTTTGAACTAGTGGACCAAATACATGCCAAAGTGAGTAATTCCCATTGTTAACACTAAGCCTGCAAACTGATCTACTACACATTGAAGATAAATTAACAGAATTGAAGTAACAGAATTAAAATTAAAACCCTAGTGAACATGAGTAAGCTGCTTTGTAGCTAGTGTTTGACTACAGTGTGGGCTCTCTATTCATTGAGAGTCATTATTAACCTTTTGAGAAAGGACAAGCTGAAACAAAATGCAAAACTCCACATCACATCACGTTTTGTTTGGCGCAACAATTTGTGTTCAAACCCATACTTGAAACTAGAATAGGCAAGTGGAGGACAGGGGAAAGCAGGTGGATGTGCCGACACACGCATTCCACAGTCTACAGGCATGTGGCTGCTGAAGGCTGCTATGAAGATTATGTAAAGCTATCAACGCTAGCTATTATACCAGGCCAGAAGCAACGAGTGTAGAGTTTAGGAATCCTGTGGGAACAGCAGGATAATTCTTACTTGTATTGAAATAGCAATAACACACAAAATGCATTTAACACATAAGCAAACACAAGTATGGACACAAAAACCTTAGGAAAAAAACAATTAACCTTTTTAAAATCTGACAGAAAAGCCTGAGTAAGGTCTATTTTTACATATGCTACTCCTATAAATAATAATCAATGAACAAAGCAAAAGTTTTTTCCCTGTCACTTCATCTTTATAGACTGCAAACATTCTCTTTTTCAGGAGCCCATCTCTAAACTGTAACAAGAGCCTGACGGGAAGTTCAGAGCTGACAACCCCCTGTTTATAATTAGAATTATTATCTATCACCCCACAGCTGTATATTTTTAATAACTTTTAAAACCTACTGCCTAAATGAAGAATTTAGATTCATCCACATGGAGTTCATGGTTCATTTGAGACAAATGACATAGGATTGCTTTTTAAGTTAAACTCAGTTTTATCACTACACAAAATAAAAATGTGCACACTAAACTGGAAAGGTCTTTGCAACTACAATTCCTAATGACTATTTCAAAGTCTTCTTCCCCTCAGCAAAACTCACCACTTTCTAAATGAAAACTGTTATAAAGGGAAAATATCTTCTGATTAGTGCTAACTCACATAAGGCTTAATACATTGTTTCATGTGGACTTAACAGACTATAAACACAGAAAAATTAAAGCCTCTAAAGCATGTTTTCTGAAAAAGTACTTACACGTTATTGTTAATTCCTGCTTTCAGATGATCAAGCTTTTCTGGAAATTCAGATTGCCCAATCAGTGACAAACCAAAAAACAC